CACACTCCCTACAGTGAAAATCTCTCCAAAAAAAAAAAATAAATAAATAAATAAAAAGCAATGTAGTACACTGTAAAGTTATATGCAATCCAATGTAATATAAACAAGATTATGATGATAATAAAAAGTAAATTAAAAAAAATAAAAAAATATTGGGAACCAGCAGTTAGCGTAATGGCTATGTCTCTGGACTCCCACATAGTCGACCGTGGTTCGCGTCCCGGACCCGGTGGCTTAAAACACACGCCGGGCGTGTGTGCGTGCATGCCCAAGATCCCGAGAGGAGAATGGAGGAGAAGGGATTGCGGCGTGACCATCCCCCCTGGGGGGTGATTTCTCGCTTTCTGTCCCTCTGTCTCTCTCTGCCTGGCGAGCGCACGCGCCCTATAGTGAAAACCTCTAAAAAAAAAAAAAGAAAAAGAAAAATATCATGTCTTTTCCAAAGTGTCATATTTCAATAAGTTTGAATAATAAGAACCATTTTCAATTTCATTAAGCACTGTCATGGATAGTTTGACTTAAAGGAGAGATTTTATATTCTCTCAATGCTAGGTTGATATATATTCTATATATAAATATGTATATATATATATGTATTTAATATATTCTAAAATATATTGAGATTTTATTTTTTCTCAACACCAAACTTACTAAAATAGGTGACAAATGCTATTAAAAGTTTTGGAGAACACATATAATCATTTTTAAGGAGAGATTTTTGGTATAGGGTGCATGTGCTTGCCAGAGAGAGAAAAAGCAACAAATCACTTCCTAGAGGAGGTGGTCACGCTGCAATCCCTTCTACTGCATCATTCTCTCAGGATCTTGGGCATGTATGCACATGCACCCAGTGTGAATTTTAAGCCACTGGGCTCGGGATTCAAACCATAGTCAACTATGTGGGAGTCCAGAAACATAACCATTACGCCATTATCCCATGTGCTGGTCCTTCATATAATCATTTTAAAATGCTAGCCTCATTCATATAAAAAGAAAATCCCAATGGCCATCTATAATAAAATAGATGAAGTCATAAAAATTAGGAAATGTACATGCATTGAATTAGAATGTATTTCATATGAAATAAGAATCAACATATTATTCTTTTGAAATCATCAATTGTTTAATTCTCAGTTATTCAAAGCCTCAAAAGAGGTAAATAATAAAAATCTGCCCTTGCATTTCTTGTTAGTTGATCATTTTACTGCTGACAAAAGTATGAAAAATCTTTTAATGAAACTCTGTGTGACACATAACATTGAAAATTTTCTTCAACTTTTCTTTTTAACAGAAGGTATTACATAGACATTTGCAATATTATCATACCCATATGTTTTCTTTGAGAATTTGTCTGTTATCCTTACGCCAGATATTCTTTGCAGGCCCAGTTTTAAGGATAGCAATGTCAGGGTAAAACAGAGTGATGAACTTGGAGAAAGCTTTCCAAGATGCCTTCCTGATTTTCCACACCAATGAGTAGAATCTGTATCACACATTTTCAGAAACAACTTCATTTTCTTATTACTGCAGTTTGTTATCTTGCAGATAATATAAAAAGGTTCTTCTAAAACTGCAGTATCTGGAATTGTTTCCAAAGATAGCCTCATGTTTCCATAACCTGGAGCCTCTCTTTTAAGTTGGATAGTCTCTAGCATTGCCATTTCACCTAGATTTCTTTTCCATACTATATTCAACTTTCCCATTTCTGTTACTCCCCTAATAATACTAGCTTTCTCTGAAAATTCCTGTTTCAACCAAAGGTGGTATAAGTACTGGCGCCCTTCATTTGACTGCAAAAATGTCCTTGTTCCAAATGTGCACTCATCTTCTCCATCGTGGTTGACAGTATTGAATTCTACTGAAGTGTACATTTCAGACAGCTCTAAGGAGACATTTTGTACAAACACAGTTGAAGATGAAACATTATGAATCTGGACTTCAAGAAATAAATCATTCCTATCTGAGTTGTAAAACTTGGTCTTAACATTCAATGGTGGGAGGAAAAGAAATGAGCATAGTCTCCTAAAAAACATCCTTTCTCTACATTGAATAGTTGGATAGTTGATTAGACATTGAATTCACAGGATCAACTACTCTGCCTGTTACTTTGTCATGTATGACATCATCAATACAACAAATGAATATAAGTTCTTCTACAGTTACCATGGAGACTGAAAAATGTAAGGACTTAATACTTATCCAAAGATCAGCATATTCAATGTGATTTTACAACTTCTAAGAAAGGAAATAAGATCAGTAGGGCATTTTAAATTAATTAGGCCTTGAGATAAATGTGAATGTGAAACTTTAGCCATGCGTTTCTGACCATTAGAGAGTCAACAATCGATTACATTATTTTGGGTCATGGCACAGAAGATTGTAGTCATAGAAATTCAACATTCAAGCAATGCATAGATCATAAAACTTTGTGCTAAAATTGTTAAGTAATGAGAATCACAAAAATCCCTGGAAAACAATTTATAAATTTTCCCTTTCATAGCTTTTATCTTTTTTTTTTTTGAGAGGTTTTTGCTATAGGGTGTGTACGCTTGCCAGAAAGACAGAGAGAAACAGAGAGATAGAAAGTGAGAAATCACCCCTCAGGGGAATAGCCACGCCACAATCTGTTCTCCATTCTCCTCTTGGGATCTTGGGCATGCATGCACATGTGCCCAGCGTGAGTTTAAGCCACTGGGTCCAGGACTCAAACCATAGTCAGCTACATGGAAGCTCAGTGACATGGCCATTACGCTAACTACTGGTCCCTCATAGCTTTTATCTTACCATTGTCTTCCCCTGTTCCCTTCCCAAAACAAAACAAAACAAGAAAACATACAAGCCTAAAACCCAAGCCCCTCGAAAAACAAAACAAAAAACAAACAAAAAACTCCACCATTTTGGAACATTGGTTAGTTTTCTGGACCCTTGTTCTCAGGTACCTATCCTCAAGTTTTGGCTTGCATAAACTTTTTTGGCTTGCTTGATAAACTTGGGTCAGATCTCTTTATTTTAGGTTGGCTATTGCTATCATTGGAAACTCTCATATGAGTAAAATTTTCCCACCTCCTTGAAAATGTCATTCTGAGGATTTAATGTGATATTAACCTTTCTCTCAAACATTCATATTTCTGGTACAGGGCTATTTCTTATTAACTGTTTAGAGAAATTACCAGGTAAGTCACTATCTTCATCTGTGACTAGAGAGTTGGTGAACAAACTATTCTTAATAGACAACATCACTTTGAGTGTCAGAAAGATCTCTCTGGGTAGATTCCCTTTCATTTTGAACACAATTTTGTCTGTTTTTTTTTTTTTTTTTTTTTTTTCTTTTTTTTTTTTTTTTTAAATTCTAGAGGGGTGCATGTGATTGACAGGAAGAAAAAGAAAGCACTTCCCCCATGGAGTGTAGCCACCCCACAATCACTTCACTTCTCCATCTTCTAGAGATTATGTGTCCAGTGTGTTTTTCAAGCTGAAGGCTGGGATTCAAACTGCTGGAGGCCATCTGACTCGTTTAAAAACAAAATAGAAAATATTTTTACAAAGAAAGAAAAAGAATAGTTTTTTTGGTTCTACACAGTTTATAGTGAGATTTTTTTTTTACACATTAATTCATTGGGTCTTCAAGATAATTTTTGATGAAGATAGAGTAATTGTTAACATTTCATTAACATTTCATTTTATGGGTAAGGAAACTAAAGGGAAATAGAAGTAAAAATTATATGTTAACAAATAAGATATATGTTAATACAGTTTAAAAATAGAAATAAAATTATATGTTAATAAATAAAATGTACCTATGATGGGGCCAGTAGGTGGCATGGTTGTTAAGGCACTGCACTCCCACATAGCTGACTGCTTTGAGTCCTGGACCTGGTGGATTGCTTTCTCACTTTCCCTCTCTCTCTGTCTCCCTTTGGTGAGCACCCATGCCTTATACCAAACTTAATAATAATAATAAATTAAATAAATTTAAAAATTAAAAACAGGTACCTATAATTTGTTTTAATAAAGTATAGCAAAATGACAGAAATAGAGACAAATGCTAAGCAAAAAAGAGATTATTATTTATAATTACCAAGAAGAGAGGGCACAATGTAACTCACAGAACCACATGAGTAAGTATCAGAGTCAGTAAGAGACAGAAGGATCAAGGGCAAAGCACAGGCACAAACCTCTATGGTGATTTCCATGGGAAAAGCAAGATTGGACAAGGTAAATCAGTTAGGTTGACTAGTTTAAATAAGATAAGTAGGCTTCAAGATGTAGAGATTTGCTTGTTCTTTGGTACCTGGCCTTGGTTTGATATTAGGGCAGAGGCGTAGGGGCTCAACCTGTGATAGCTTAATAAAAGATGTAATTGGCAAGTTTGCTCTCCGGATTGGTTGTTCATATGAGAGAAACCTTCATTGAAAAGCTAATAGCTATAGGAATTAACTAGTTCCAGAAGGGACGGTCTCTCTCCCAGCCAGCAAGACCCCAAAAGGTCAAAACACCATAAATAAAACAAAAAATCCACAATCGGGACCAAAAGATGGCATAATGGTTATGTTGCTGGACTCCCACATAGTCAACCGTGGTTCAAATTTTAGAAATGCTGGCTTAAAACTCATGCTGGGCAAATGTGTATGCACGTCTAAAATCCCAAGAATGGAGGAGAAGGGATTGTAGTGTGGCCATCCCCCCTGTGGAGTGATTTCTTGCTTTCTGTCTCTCTGTCTTTCTGGTGGGTGAATGAACCCTAAAGCAAAACATTTCTCTCTGAAAAAAGAAAGAAACACAATTAATGCATCCATTGGCTATAGTTTCTGGGGATAGGAGGAGATAAAGAAAACCCCAGAACAAATGAAAAAGGATAGCATACGGAAGAAAAAACCTAGTCTCTAAATAATTCCTATATTAGTAAAGGTTTAAGTGGAGAAGTAGAACTAGTAGATTTTATATAGTCTGACCAAAAGAAAGATCATGAAAAGGCTGAAATCCCCAAGAGCATGAAAGCTGGAAGCCCATAGGGTAGACTGAAGCCCATGTCTATTCTAAATGCCTCTGAACTTGGTGACAATAATATCCTGTGGAACCTTGGGCCCTTTTTCTTGGAGCTATACACACACAACTGGCTCAGTCGCTGCTTCATTCTGAGTTGAGTCAGCAGTTGGGCAATAATGTGTTTATGTTACAAAATGGCTTTCTCCCTTCCACCTTCTGAAATCTTTGAAGAGAATTCCTTGTGACCTACCCTAATAGGAAACATGCAATAAATTGAAATCTGGGGAATGTAATTCATTCCAGAAAAGTGGATATATTATAAATTCATTATGGATCATAGTGTAGTTCTATTTATAGGTCTTCGTGGACTCTATATTTTAAAGTAGAGATGGTTCTAGTGACTTCTAGTTGGCTTTTCTTACCATAATAATCCTCACTCCATGAGCCCGGGAATAAATGTAGGGATGCTGCCAATAGCTAAGTATGTTTACTCAAATTCTGAATTCTGGAACACAAAGAGATAACCACAGGGTGGGTTCCCAGACCCAGTGTATGTCAGATAGAGATGTTTGATAAATCTCCATTGATTACTAGACATTCATGAATCACTACTGTGTTTACTATAGACCTGTGGTATTTAGGAGCTCTAGAAATTAGTAGCAATTCACAATCAATGTTCACTAATTTCCTAAGAGTTTTACTACTTCTAATTTTTTTATTGCACAGGCACTCTGGTAAATGGCCATATATCCCTTTGGGGAAAGCTGAAAGAAAAAATTAACAGTATAAATTGTTCACAGTGTGTCAGGATCTTTCCTCAAAAGAACATACCTGTGTTCCCTTCCTCCAAGTGGATCTGGGACTATAAACTGGTTCCAGCCTGAGAATTTATTGAGATTGTGACTTTCTGATTTGATGATTCAAGATATTCACTAGACCTAGGTCATTTTTGGTCAAACGTGAATTGAGAAAGCTGCCCATCAATTTCAGTTTTGGATATTCCATGATCAATTAGCCAATACTATTTATTTCTGCAATTTACACTATTCTGGTTACTGCTTTGGCAATCCCATCCATTAGGTTAAATGGACCTGCCTTGGCTTAGGTGATAAAGTGCCATTACTTGGTCCAAACTATCTAGTGATCTCATTATCCTCATCAAATTTAAGAAACCCTGTTCAATGGTCCCAGTTTCAAGTGTAATGTTTGATGCACAGGAAATGCCAGCCACAGAGATCATCAAGGATCATAAGGGAACCCTAACAAATTATTATTTTTCTTCTAATATGCTTTAGGGCATGTGTGCTCACAAGAGAGAGAGAAAGAGGGGGACAGTGAGAAAGCACCCCCCCAGGATGATGGCCATGTTGCAATCCCTTCTCCTCCATTCTCCTTTAAGCATTTTTGGGTATGCACACACATGTGTCTAACATGTTTTCCAAGCTCAAGCTCCCAGGTCTGGGACTCTAGCAGCACAGTTGGCCATGTGTGATCCAGCCACTTTAACCATGAGTATATTTCTTACACACCTGGTAGAATGTATGTCCTCAGCCAGTCTCAGGAGCTCAGGCAACAGGAGGAGTGGCAATATCTATCTATCCATGTCTGTCAAGCCTCTCTGTGAGCTGCAGCACTCCAGGCACCCTGCACACACCGTGTTGGAAACCAAAATTCCCAAGAAGAAGGTTCATTCAATCAAGGGAGCTGCCAAGGAAGAGCCCAAGAGGAGATCTGGAGGTTGTCTACTAAACCTGTTTCTGTAAAAGTGATGAAGCCAAAAAAAGAAGCAGGGAAGGATAAATCTTTGGACAAAAAAGTGCAAACAGAAGAGAAAAGGAGAACAAAGGGAAAATAGGCTATCGTGGCTAACCAAGAAACTAAAGGTTGACCTGCAGAGAAGGGAGAAAGTAAAAATGAGGAGTGTCCACTTTCTAATGAAGCAGGAGAGAAAGAAGTCTGAGTAATGTCATATACCATGTCTTATCAGTGATCCCTGTCTCCTTTCTTGTACAATCCAGGAAAATATTTTTGTCAACAATTTTGTAAATGCAAGTTCTTTGGT